TGTAAGAGGTAGTAGATGCTAAATAAGGTAGTGCAAAAAAAAAAAAGAATGATCAAAATACAAAACAGAGACGAGAAGTATTAGAGAAAAGATGAAAAACATGGAAACAATGAGTAGAAATCTAATTAAGACTAATTTGTATTGCAGAGGAAGAAATCTATTAGATAGAGCAGGAGAAAGACCATCATCAAAGTGATTGTCAGGAAACAGTCACGAGGCAGAAAATGACATTGGTATAAAAATTTAAATGCTGCCTCCCAAAATTCCAGTTAAGATGAAAGCTAAAACGTATAGCTTAACCTGGTATGGAAAACATTTTTTAAATTTCAAAGACAATGAAATATTCCTGCTATTGCCTGGAAGAAAAAAATGAAATAATCATCCAAGTCAAATCTTCGGCTGACAGCCAAGCCAAGCTCTCTGCCCCTCCCCCACATTAAACAACAGAAGGAACAGGAATTTCTTTCAATGGAGCTTTGAGGGGAAAATTTATGCGATTCTAGAATTTTATACCAAACTAAGTTGTCGTCTATTAGGGGAGAGGGGAAGGAAAGGTGTTATCAGATTATGAGAACTCAGAAAATGTTGTGTTCACAAATATTTCATCATCAGACTCTTTTTGAAAGTTCTTTAGCAGATATTTGCATGAAAATCAGGTACTCCATTTGGGACAGTCACAGACAAGTGAAGTGAACACTGAAATCAATTAAATAGAATGAAATAGCAGTGGGGGTTATAAATTTTGTCACAAAATTAAATGCAGAAGCCAAATACCATTCTAGAGAAAGATACAAATAGTAGAAAATATGTTATAATAAATCTCAAATCTAACGTATAAAGACTGGAATGTGTCAGTTAAGAGGTAGGACACGTTAGGGTGTATACATTTTCTTATCACATGCAAGGGAAGAGGAGACAATGTAATGTAGTTTCTTGAATTTGAATATATCAGAAATGATTGGCTTCAGTAGTGCATTTAATCAATGGAAAGCTATCACCAGTATAAATAGTTAAGAGTAGGATGGCTATAGGATTTGTTTTGCAAAGGCTAATGATAAGGAGACATATCCACCATTGGACACTTAGGTTGTCTCCTGTACCTTGGCTATTGTAAATAATGCAGCAATAAACAGGGGGCCATTTCCATATTTTTCAGATAAAGGGATTTAGATTCTTTTTTCTTCGAGTCTCAGGTGGCATGCATCAGCCTCTAGGAGCCTCTCCCACTCTCCAAGGATTTCCAAACCTTCTGTGCTTTCCTTTTGCAGTGTCTATCAGGCTGAATTATAATCTTGTTTCTTTGTCTTTAGCGAGCAGGCTTGGTCTCTTGCTTATACTTGCATTTCCTTCCCAGTGTCTGTTGTGGAGTCAGGCTTAATTACTATTTGTTGAATTAGGAAATCTTTGGTACTAAAGAGTAGTCTCATTTTAAAACTATTAGGACGTCAAGAATTGATAGTTACAGTTCTCGTCGCAGACTTTAATGTTACCCATGGCCTTTGATAAATCAAGACGTCCCCCAGAAATAACGTTATAGAAGGTGCAGATTTTAATTGTAAGGCTATAGAAATTAAATAATAAAGATCATTTTGTGTGTGTAATTGACCCTACAGAGATTCCACTATAATGGAAAACTCCTTACGTTCCTAACAACAGGAGATATACAGAGTAGAATCATTAACCAGGAACCACTGAAAGCAGAATAATGAACAGCAAACCTAGAAAAAAGAAAGTCAAATAGCATGATAAATGTGAAATGGGTTCGAAGAAGTATTGAGAGAAATTTTAAATTTTGGGACTACTCTGCATAGTTACATACTAATAATGATGAAAATCTTTTGACTGGTTTTCTAAAAAAAATCAAATTCCAAAACAGACTCAAGAAAAATAAAAAAGCTAAACAGACTGATGATAGGAAAGAAATACTTTCTGGCATTGTCTCATATTGTATTATAGTGATTCTGACAATATAGAAAACATATGGAATTCTACTCTGCTAATTTTGTTTAAATATGAGTATCCAGATAGTGAAATAAAAGGAAAACTATGTAGTTTTAGAATCTGCATTTTGCCTTCCCTTTTTACCATCCCATTTGCCAGTTCTTTCCACCTAATTTTGAATTTTAGCAGTTTCTCAGCTGACCAGAGTTTTTCCAGGCACCCAGTCCTTCAAGTGACCTTCCTGGAAATGGTCACTCATTTTCTCAGAGCCCCCTTAACTCTGAGCTCTTATCCTCTTCCTCCTTGACCATGGCAGAGGGTCCCTGCTTTCTCATCTATGAGATCCATCACCCACCCAGACATTTTGCCATCTTTTTCCTACCACCCAGGCTAAAAACCACATGAACCCCTGTGAATTCTAAAGGGAGGTTATTCCATGGCTCAGCCCTGCATGTATTGCAAAATGTACTTTTATAGTCAATAAACTGAGATGGAGAAAACATCCACTTTATTCACCCTCCCTTCAGTTGCTCTTACTCATATAAATGGCTTTGAACATGAGTCATTGAGGTTTCCATCAAATTTCAGTAACTCAATTTAATTTGTTAGAGCAAGGGGCATACTTAAAGCAAGGTAGAAATTGCTTTACAAGGAAAGTAGGGAAAGGAAAATGTCTAAAACTTTCTTTCATCAGGATCCAGATAAACATAACATGTTGATTTCTGTTCTTGTTCTTGGATAAGTGATACTACAGAAATCCCTGAGTCGTAGTGGCTAACAACAGGGTTTATTTCTCATTCAAATTACATGCCCTTCCTGGGTTAGCTCTATGTTGTATTCTTTCCAGGACCTCAGATAAAGGAGCAGCCCCTATTTGGGGTGTGTTTTCATGGTCAAAGTAAACAGAGAAATGGCCTGATATATACAGTGGCTTTGAGACTTCTCCTTGGGCCTCCAAATGTCACTGTCACTCTCATTTAATTGGCCAAAGCCTGATGTCAGTGAGCAGGGAGATATAATTCTCTCACCAGGAGGGGAAACAAATGATTGGAAATAGTATTACCTGTTACAGTGCACACTTTTGCACTTTTAGACATTTTATTTCCCTCCCGTTGGCCACAAAATATACTCATTCCCAACCTAATGGAGACACCCCAAAATCCAGTGACAACCTAAGACTCAATTTCTAGATTTCATGATTCTGTCTGGGTGTGGCTCCTCTTGATCTGAAGACATAGGAACCCAAACGGTTCCACACACAATCAGCATATAGGGGTGGAACAGGGTGAGCTAAACACCGAAATCATTGCCCCCCACAAAGCAAAGACTGGGCGACCTATAGAAGCTGAAGACTTAGAGAAATTCTGAAATCCTGCTGGACAGAACTTGGGATGAGGAATATACTTTAATTAATTAAGGTTCTGCCTCCTGGAAATTGCCCTGGATTTCTGTGTGTGATGTCAAGCATGATCCTCAACTCCCCCCTCCTTCCACACTCTTCTCTTGTACTCATCTAATGAGGGCACTGGGAAATAAGTCCAGCATGAGGCAAGCATGGCTTATCTTTGTCATGGCTGATGCCCGCAGAAATTTGGGAGCCCAAAGATCATTTTAAGTTTTGAACAGTCATGGAGTTTTTCAGTCCTGGACTCATTTTTGGACCATCATAAATCTCAAAAAAGCTTAGTCATACTTTTATCTATTAGATTCCACTTGGTTCTTGTTAAGCCATAACTATTTTTGAATTTAACTATAGTTAAATTTCTTAAAATTTAACAACCAGCTTCCTGGGAGAGTCTCTTAACATATTCCAAGATTTTAACAAGGAACATTTTTTATTTGTTGTGGTGGGCCCATATTGTTATTTAAAGCACACCTCAATTTTATCTCCTCTTAGTTGGACATGAGAAACAATTAAGACAAAGAATTTCATCCCTGCAAGACCAGGAATTTTTCAGTTGTTTTTATTCCTGACCAACCAATTTTTTCTCAAGCTCATCTCTTTCTGGTTATGCCCTGTCAGCCAGTACATGCTGTTTCCCAAAGTGTTTACTCACAGCCACAAACTCATTCAATATATATCTGTTCCCTGAGTTATCACAAGCAATGATTTTACCAAGTGCTTTGCTACTGTGTTAAATGGGCTGTTGTCTTTTCAGCCTCTACCTCCCACTGCCCAGCCCTGGAATGGTGCACCCCATACTGGAATTCTTGTTATGGTCACACCTCAACCCTTTGCATTCCCTTCTGTACGGTTGACTTACACCAAGTCACATTGTGTTGACACACGAGTCCCAAATCGCTGGCTAGTAATGACACAGGACATGCATTCTCATGTTGCTTTTCCTCATTGGGATAAGGCCATGTCTTCTCAACTTTATCCTCATTCTCAGACCCAGACAGAAGGAACAGTCCCTATGTAGAGCATGTGGGTCTCAAGACAGAGGGCAAAGAATGGATGATAAACCACACAGTGACTTAAGGCTTGTCGTTGGATGCGGCATATGTGATTCTCTCATTGTCTTTAAAAAAGAGACACACCACACCTGATAGAACTAGAGTGGGAAAGGTTCTTCCCTTCCTGGGAGGGAAGGACAGAGCTGACAGTGCTGCCCCTCCCTTCGCTGCTCTTCCTCATAAACGTTGCTTTGAACGGCATTTCATCTTGATAGAACAAGATACGTTCTTAAAGCGAAGTGGGAATGGCTGGCTTCTTGGAGCTGACGCATTTTCTCGACATATGCACTATCTGAAGTGTGACACAACTCCAAAGCACACGAGGTGTGGAGGGGTGACAGCAGATGGCTGGATGAGTTGGAAACCACACGAGCAGGTGGCATTTTTTTCCTCCAAGAGTCTCAGTTAAGGGGGGTATGTTACACTTACTGTATTCCCAGTAAGTCCCTGCAAGTTCACAGTATGCTTGGAGCTGAACATGCTGGAAAACTGCTCATCTGACTGAAAGCTGGGGCAGGTTTCCATAGAGGAACTTTGGGGTTTGCTGCTCATGCCCCAAGCTAAGGGCTCCTGACACCACTCACCCCTCTCTTTCTCCACAGTTTGACATGCAAAGGATAACTCTGGAAGAGTTGAAGCACATCCTCTATCATGCCTTCCGGGACCACTTAACAATGAAGGACATTGAGAACATCATCATCAATGAGGAGGAGAGCCTGAACGAGACCTCGGGGAACTGCCAGACGGAGTTTGAAGGAGGTAGGGACCCCAGTTTCTATATCTTTCCTGGCCTGCAATGGGCCAGCACCTCCACGTGATCCATATGAAATATGTGTTGATGCTCTCTTGGGCTCAAGTGGCCTTGTGCTAAGCTGAGGATCCAGGACTGAGGTTAGAGATCCTTTCCACAAAGATCAACAGGGTTTCTTTTTCTCTTACCCCCATCCTGCACCCACCCCCACCCCAGACTCTGAATTCCTGCAGGTCCCGCATGAGCCCTGTCCTTCCTCTGATGACTCTGAAGTCCCCTAGATGTGTGGCTCTGGTGTTGCCTTTACTTAGTGGAGTTACAGAAAGAACCTGTTTAGGCTTCAATGAACTTGGATCAAGTTCAGTGGCTAATTTTGTGGCCTTGGGCAGGGGTGTACCTTCTCTGAGCGTGATTCTTATCAAGATAATGACACCTACTTCACAGCATCTTTGGGATGCTTTCCTCTGTCCTCCATGCCCTGAATGCACAGGCTAAAAAGAACCCTCTTCAGGAAAGGACACTCATGAACTTCACTCTCATGAACTTCACACTCATGAAGTAGTCACTGAAGGAAAAAAATTCTCCTGAGGACAAAAAAGGAGACCCAAGAAAGGCCATTTTTCTTGGGCTTAAGAAAGAAAAAGGGCCTCCCTGGTGACGCAGGTGGTTGAGCACCACACTGCGAAGCTGTCCGCAGCCTCTGCATTGCGGGTTTGATCCCGGCTGGCCTGGGAGAATCCCACATGGCGCAGCAGACCTCTCCTGTCTCGCTGGCTGCTCCCCTCAGCATTGTATTTCATCAGTCTGCCTGTTCTGTTCTCTGCTCTGTCTCTGGTAAATCCTCTCACCCTCCTGTGCATCTGGCCTGTACCCCGGTTCTTGTATAAAAATAAATAAATCTTTTAAAAAAAGAAAGAAAGAAAGAAAAAGAGGGGGAAAGCCGAACCTTATTCCCTAATCAGTCTGGAGAAGTTTCGGGGAAGTGAAGTAATTTAATCCCTCTTTCCAAATTTTCCAAATTTAAATTAGAGCTGTTAAAGCAGCTCTGATGTACAGAAAAGAAAAGATTTAAATTACATTAAAACATCATAGCAGGTACCCTGCAGTTTTTAATTTCTTCAATGCTGTGGTTTCTTAAAGGGGTCAGACTATTTTCTATACTTTTTTCTGAATATTTCAACAAGTCATATAAGCTGATGATCAGCTGTCATGTAGACACCAGAATGGCATTCTTGGCCTGGTCTTGGAGATGCCATATGAGTGTGGGCCCAGGACAGTGGTCAGGGCCGAGCTGGTCCAGGGGGTCAGGCGGTTCATGCAGCACTGGGCTCCCAGGTCTGTCTGGGCTGCACTGCTACATCATGTGCAAGATGAAAGGCCAGGCAAGAGGAAACAGGGCTAGTTTATACTCCCAGGCAGACACTAAATTAGCTCCAGCCAGGATGCAGGGCCTGGTGGGCATGGGGTAATTGGGAGCAATGCCCCCTGGCAAAGACATTTCCACAGAAAATGTTCTCAAGAGCTGTGCACAGAAATCAAACCCAGTGTGGACCAGAAGCTGCCAGGGTCCCCTTGCCTGCGACCTGAACCCTGGCATCAATGACTGTACCCGTGGGTAGAGTCACACACACCTCTCCAGGGCAAGATGCTCACAGTCAATGCCCATTTCTAGCAGGACAGACAGGAGGATGGGGAGGGTGCAGAGGATAAGGAGGGCAGGGCCTGCACTGGCCTCCCTGCTTGGTCTTGGCTGATGGACCGGGTGCTAAAATGATGAAACTATTCAGGGCTCTCGCTGCCCGTCACTACCACGTGACATGGGTGGGGAGAATGCTTGTGGGTGTCTCGTTTTCTGTAGGAGCCTTTGTTTGGGGATCCGTGTTTTGTTCAGGGAAATGTCACGCGTCTTGGTAATTTAGGAAAGGTCACACTACACTGGGAAGTAATTTGAACTCTAAGCGATGAGTTTTTATTACTCAAAAGCCTGTGCATTATGAAAATAAATGAGTGACACAGGGGTCTCTGAATACAAATCTACTGGGCCTGCCTTGCTGATCTGTGCATAGAACATTGGCAACTGCTGCCATTTGGGGGGGTAATTGATAAGGACTGGGCACTGGGCTAAATGCTTTAAAACTCATTGTATTGTTTAATAAAAGAAACATTATCTTGTAATTACCACATTGCTTTTTTAATGACTTCTGTGACCTTGGTTATAGAATCCCATATGCATATTTTCATATCAGGGAAGTTTTTGGGTTTTTAAAAAATTTTATATCAGCTCTATTTGGCCCCAAGTGCAAGCTGACCGGTTTGTATTGAGGGTTCAGATTTTTCCAATCTCAGATATGATTCGAGTCACTGGTGCATATATTTAATGTCTCAGGTTAAAGAAAAGGTTTATTTTGGGTAGAGATATCTAGATGAGATGCTGCACAGGTCAGGAATTTGCCTCTGGCACCCTAGCACTGGGAGAGTCCTTGGGAGAGCCTGCGGCTGACCTTGGCTCCTGCCTTCCACCGTTCTCCCATGCCCGCTGCCCACAAACAGGGACCTGCTGGCATTTTCAACTTCTCCCTTCTTCTACCAGTCTGATCGCACTATTGCATTGCTTGTGACTCCTAAATCCCCTCACCCTCCTCTCAACCTCGAGTCCTTTGAGTCCTGCCTGTCCCTCAGCCTGTCCACTCCTTTCTGTCTTCTCTTGCCCCTGGCCAGGCTACATGCTCTGTCCTGCCCTTTATTTTTTCATTTTTGCATAGAAAAACTGGGGTGTAAGCCAGAGGTGCAGGGGTGGTGTGGTGAGAGGATTCACGAGAGACAGAGTGAAGATCAGAACAGATGGATCTACTGAAATATACTGCTAAGGAGACAGCAGGTGAGACCAGAGAGGTCTGCTGTGCTATGTGGGTCTGCTCCCTGGCAGGTAGGTACTGTAGGTAGGTGTTGTTCAATCCCTGTGGATGGAACTCAAGCCATAGCGGTGATAGCTCTGAGACTTAGCCCCGAGACTTAGGCTCTAGGCCTCTAGACAGGCCCTGTACCATCACTTTAATTGTACTTTCTTTCCTTTTTTTTTTAAGATTTATTTATTTATTTATACTTATGCAAGCACTGGGTACAGTCAGAAGTGCGGGAGGGTGAGAGAATTCACCAGAGCCAGAGCAGGGAAAAGAACAGGCAGACTGACGCAGAAATACACTGCAGAGGGGAGCAGCGGACACAGCAGGAGAGGTCTGCACGCCATGTGGGACCCTCGCCGGTGGCCGGGATCGAACCGGCACTGCAGAGACTGTGGGCAGCTTCGCAGCCCAGCGCTCAACTGCTGTACCACCGGGGAGGCCCACTTTAATTGTACTTTCATTGATGTCTCGGGTTTCCGACCCACTTGCCAACTTTGCCAGCCCTGATCTTGATGAATCCATCTTTAACTATGAACAAGGGTCATAGTTGTTTCTTTTCTTTCAAGCATTGGCACGCTTTTCTCCCCAACTCTAATCCTTTTCATAAGCCCAATTGCCTGAAGGGAAGGGAGCAGGGGGCACATTTCCCCCAGACCCCACTTAGGCCACCTCTGCTCCTGCCATTCCTCACCCAGGAAGCTCTTTCTTCCCCTTTTATTAGGGTCTTGCTGCAGCAAGTACGTTCCTGTACTGGTTGACTCACCCTAAGCCCTGGTGATCCACAGAGCTTGGTACTGGTTTCCAAGCAGGAACTGATGAGGTATAAACACCTAAAGGTGCAGGAGGTCTTTGCCTTAAAAGGGCAAAAGAGCACATCTGCCTCTGAGCAAGGATGGAGATAGTCACTGAAACAGACATTTCGTGGCAGAATTGTAATTAACCCACATCGTCGGCTTCCAGCTCAGTGAAGTTGGAGTCAGCGTGGAGCCGGGGGTGGGAAGGCTTGATGGAGCTGCTGTGCGCCAGGGAGTCAGCTAGAGATGAGCAGGGGGCTCCAAACACCGTCAGCATCCTTTTTGTCACAGTTGTAAATCTTGTGTCTGATACTTTTACAAAGGGATTTAGATTCTGTTCAGTCTAAATATCTAAATGTCAGGAAATATCAGGAAACATCGATTATTCCTCCTACATGAGTGGAAGAATAAAGAACAGGGTGGTGGGCCGGGGGCTCTGGGGCTTTGACACCCATGATAACAGAGGTTGGGGATTTTCCTCCCTTTTTTCAGCTTTTGTTTTAGCTTGATTTTGTTCTCTTTACTACTTGAGTTAAGGTCAACACAAACTACAAATTTGCACGCTCACACACACGCAGGCCTCACATATTCCAGGCTGCCAATTCTTTAAGGTAGGTAGGCGCTGTGATTGTACTTGTGCAGCAAATCTTCCATCTTTTCCTGAGGAAGGACAAGAGGAAGCTAGATGAATCTCCAGGCTACATATAAAGCTTTCCTGCTTCTTCGAGAAACCCTGAATTGACAACTCACATTTCCTGCATCGTGTGCAGAAATGCCTATGATGTCAGGGAAGAGACAAGGAAGATCTAACTCTAGGATTTTGTAGGATTTTTCTTCATTCATTCTGGGCTTCAGGTGGAAAACCATTCAGGGTGAGACTGACACTTGAGCAGGTACCACCCACCGTGCTGGGTGCTTTGGCTGAATTTAACTCCACTGAATTCAGGGGCTCTGTGGCATTACCACTCTTAGCTGCCTTTATCGCCCCACTCCAGGGAGGATAATTGGCTAAAATAGAATGAACGTTCAGGCACTCCCAACCCCTCAGATCTTTTTGAATTATGATGTTATGCTCAGTGTACTTAGGTGTTAATTGTTCATACTTGTGTTCAACTCATTTGGAAAAATAAACAGGTCAGCATCTGCCAAAGTGGGTTAGATACAAGCTGGGTGATTAGCCAAATATCCACTCATCTTTTTCACTAAATAAGAGTTTTCAAATGTTTTGCTTCAGTTGGAGCAGTAATCATCAGACAATTTGTTTTTGGAGAACATAAGCCCAGTGTCACTGAGAGACAAATTCATATTTTA